ATCAAGTTAGATCTGACCCATTGCTGACTCTCTAGCATATTTTCAGAGGGAAGGAGATTGCCCATCCTTCTCTAAGGAGCAGCTGGTGGATTCAAACTGTGTACCTTGAGGATTGTAGTGCAACTTCTTGCCACTAGGCCACCAGAGCTGCTGTATTTATTACTTATAACAAATGTAAGTGACTGAATTCTCATTATGTGCCAGATTATCTATTTTAATCTCTCTTATTGTATTAAGTAGATGTTATTAATTTTTCCATTTTTCAGAAAAGAACACTGAAGTATGCAGTAGTTCAGCGACTTGTCCAAGGCAAGAAACTTAACCAGAAAATTATGGGAACCAGGATGCAAAACCCGAGCAGTCTCCTTTGAGGGTCAGAAATCTTAACCAGAATGGGGTGAACAGTCTCTAGTGAGTGAGTCAAAACTATGAAGAAAAAGGGAACTGATATACATTTAGAAACACTTCAAGAAACACTTAAAAGGAGACAATGAGTAGGAGGAGAGGGGATGCCTGAGAGAGGAAGTCCAGGGACTCTAGAAGTATGGAAGAAGGAAAATCTACTCCAATTTAGAAGAACTAAATGTTCATTTTTAAAATCAATCTTAAAAGTAACGATATAGTCTCATTTTTAGTAAAGTCTAGGTTGTAGACCTGAGGTCTAAGAGGGCCAGCCCTTGTAACCGTCTTTGTTTTATTACTTCATGACATTTATTTCTGTTCAAAATGATCATGTTTCCTTCTTTCCTTCTTTGCTTATTTTCTGTTTCTCTCTGTTAACATATAAGCTCTAAGAGAACATGGGCCTCACTTATGTTGTTTAATGCTGTATTTGAAGCATCAAGCACAACTTGGAAGGAAGACAAGATGAATAATGAATATTTGCTCTGTCAGTAACTGAACAGAACCCAACTTTCAGTGTTTTCGAACAAATCTTTCCCGTTTGTTGCTGTTATGTGCCATCAAGTTGCTTGAAACTCACAGTGACCCTATGTACAACAGCTTTGAACTCTGCTCCATCTTGAGCCAATTCAAGGCCACCACTTGCTCCACGGGAGAAGGATGGGAAATCTCCTCCCATGCAATTAACTGCCTCTGAATAAAAAGTATCTATGAAAACCTAAGAGCCAACATTGTTCTTAATGGAGAGAGGTTAAAGGCATTCCCTTTAAGAACAGGAACTAGGCAAGGATGCCCACTATCACCTCTTTTATT